TGTTTACGTTTCAGTCAGTGTAGTGAAAAAATGTGATCAATCTCGCTGCCATGGTCACCAGGTTAGTCGATTATCCATTCAATAAAACTTGAACTAAAAAGCGTGAATAGCATCAATCCTCTAATAAATTCTTATACTGAATCCATTTATAATATTGGGCATTCTGTCATTCCACGAGTGAGTGGTGGCGAAACGCCGACACGAATGAGTGGGGGACAGAATGCCCAATATTACCCTACTATCCATAGAAACTAGCTCCATCTATAGTTAGCCCTCCGAAACAAGTAGTATGGCGGGAAGTTTAAATACTTACTTTTTTACTTGGGTTTCATAATATTAACTACCAAATTAGTAAAACCAATGTTTTCTGTGAATATTTTTCGTATACGAAATCCGTAACATAAACAAATTCCACAATCGAAAAACATCCACAGGGAATACAGGTTTTAGTAATTTGGTAGTTAATCTAGGTGAAATATAGGGACTACTTCAAAAAGGGAATATAATACAAGCAGTAATTAATAACACACTCTATTTTATTATTATTTTAACATACCGCTTTATTACACAAATTAAGTGAATTTTCAACATACCGTTTGGTTTTTAACTTTAATTCAACATTGATTTACAAGCCTTCAGAATTATTTTAATGTGTGCACCAAATTATCAAGAAAATGATTTTGACACAGCATTCTATGTTCAGTATACAATTTCATTTGGAATTCTGTTGATGAATTCCGTCCTTTGTGGAAAATATATTTAGCCCACGATTCACATCTGAAAACAAATACAACGAAATTAATGTTATATCTTTATAGTACAAGAGATAGAGCTACATTTTCCTAAGAATATTATAGCAAACTAATTTAATTTATAGTTCGTAATCGATAAACATCCTTAATCATCTTCACCTACATCATCACTTTTATCAGAAATAACATAAAATTATTTCATACAGATTAGCATGACATACCTAATACTGAAGCTCTTTGACTCAAGTCATATTTTTTACAACTAAATACAAGTATTTATGTCAATTCTAACTCTACTGCTAATAAAATAACTAACACTAGCAATGCCGTCTTTACCATAAGGGCACTAAGGGCCAGTGTGTGACGGAACACACCGCGATATAAATATATATAATATATAATAAATATATCACCGTTACTTTAATAATAAATAAAAAAAAATAAAAAACACTGAAATAGGCAAATAAATAATGACAATACTCATGGCTGTAATCATATCGCTTTATTTATTTCTTGAAACAATAGTCCAGAAATGATAGTCTTGCCATCTCTCGGACTAGATGCAAAATTCATTGTATTATCCATATATATTGTGCCTAGTAACTTAAATACAGAGCAGCTAGTTTACAAGCTTGATACTAGGCGGCGCTTATTTAAAAAAAAAACAAAAATAAAGAATAAAATTCACGAACTAATAGATTTGGTTAGTTAGCGGAAATTGTATTTGAATATATATTAATAAAGTTGGTAATTAAATTTATTGATCATTAAATCTTCTTAAAAGGATCCTAATAGTTATTGTACATTTTATTGTTTTATCTGTTATTGTAATGTCCACATCAAGTAACTAATATAGTCTATATATGTATATAGATTGTAATCAACACTAGATGGCGCTCATTTCACGAACAAATAGATTTAGCTAGTTAGCGGAAGTCGTAATTGAATAATATTAATAAAGTTTGTAATAAAAATTATTGATGGCTATATTCTCTTAAAAGGTTCTTAATAGTTTTTGAAAATATACAGTAAGCTAATAACTGAAAATTAAATACAAAAAGATTAGTTATTCCACTGTAAACACCTTTTTTTTGTTATCAGGCTCAAGTAATTAATAAATGCACTAAAAGAGAAAGGAGCAAGGAAGAGTCATTGTCTAATCTCTATAAATAATGAATTATTTACCTATTAATGGAATTCGATAAACATTTTAGAAACATTCAATAAATCAATTAGTGTTATTGTTAAAGGAATTTAAATGGTTCCTAAGGTTCTGGTTGCCAGGACATGATTATGGGTGTTAACGAGTTATGATTAAAATATAAAATTTTGTTAGGAAGATATTTGACGACAACACTACGACAAATGATTATTGAATATATCGAAACATTTAATATGTACATTCTATTAGTGATTTATCGTTTTATTAGAATAATATACTAGAATATCACGAATATTTAGTAATGGATTTGACTGTTTGAGGGGATGGGTACCTAAACTAAAGCGAATGAACTCGTTGATGTGTGTGTGTAGAAGGTTCTAGAAAGGATAAGTGTATAAAAGGAAGTAGGCAGGAGATTCTGGATCTTTTTCGGCGAGTGACATCAACGGGGGCGGAACTCTGGTAGTCGGTCAGTGTGTGTTCAAGTAGAAGCAGGACAAGGGCGAAACGCTGGAGGAGGAGCTGTCGATACGGGTTTGAGCATAAACGGAGCTGAGAGGTTTAACAGGTTTGGGTTCAGGGCTTCCGCTTTGGACCACAAGTAAGTGCTATTAGGGAACGTAGTTTATATCAATTTTTATATTTTTCTGACATAGATATGAAAGTAATATCCGATACGTTCTTAGTAAATAATATAATCTTGAAAATACAACGATTTACAGTAATTCAAAATAGTATGTATGAATGATGGATGACGAATTTTGAAGTATCCTTGAAATTGATAGGAAAACCCTACAGCGGTATATTATTGCAGATAAATTATGATAAGGGGTTATTATCAAGTAGGATTTATGTGTGTGTTTTATCATTAATTACTTTATAATTATGTCTTTCAGATGTTTTATATTATACTATCTATTTATATACATAACATACTACTCAAATAACTACATAACTAACCTGACATAAGAAAATATAACCACTTTGAATTAATCTAGTCAGTTTCATAATTCTAATTTTCAATATCAATTTCTATCGGTCCAGATTGGAATGAGAATACTTATGTGTTTCACTTTTTTCTTATTTGGACTCTTTTGAGTCTGTTCATACTATTTTTATTACTAGGTTTTCATAGTTTTCAAAGAAGTCACAATATTGGGTTGTTCCAATCATTCGTTAATATCGCAGGTGTTGTCCGCCATTTGAATGAATGGTTCGGTGAGATACCAGTATCAATGACGCCTATCCTATACTGGGTCAGGATGGTGATCACCGCCAGTATCGGAAGTGTGAGAGATAGCTCGGTTGATTACTTGTGCCATCAGTTCAGTGGAGGGCAAATAAGCCTGTTATATTTACAAATAATTATAGGGCTTCGCTTTATTGTGTCGTTCTGATGTGGTAGCTAATGTTCCTAGACGTGTGTTCCATATTGGTGAGGTCCTGTGCGATATCGTGTTAGTTGTCTCCTTATCCCGTACTGGAGTGGTCGAAATGGCGCATTCCCCGTGGTACCGGTGGACGATAGCTAATGCTATGTCAAACTATGTTCCATTGTCTTTATGGAGGACATCAGTCTGGGTATATTAACGAATCACATAGGGTTTCTTTTGCTCTTTTGCAGAGCAATTCTTTCTTTTTGGTGGAGGTGTAGTTTTATTTTCTGGTTAGAAAGGTATTCCTTGCTGGACCGGTTAGAGTTAATAATGGTTAAGGGGCCGTGTGGTGGGCCCTGGGCTTTGAGCGTGGTTGGGGCTCGAAAGCACTTTAAACATCAGCAATGCTGTATTTATTTTCTTTTCTTTACATATTTTCTGGCATTTTTGTTGTTTACTTACTTTATTTCATTTCCTACATAAAATATTCATTCTATAACTTTCTTTTAATTATTTCACCTTAATTTAGTAAGCAAACATTTCTTATATTTTATTTGTTTACCAAAGAAGAAACATCAACTTTTATTATTTTATACACAACTATATTTTATCACCTTTTAGTGTTATTTTAATTTATTAGTTTAAGATCTAATCTTATCCATGCCCTCAATAACATATACTCTAACCACTCACAATCACCTTCATACAAAGAATCTAAGGTTACTACAAAAATAATACACAACGAAGAGTCCTACCACTAGACGATCACAACTTTATAATTATGGCCAAATATTAAGTTAATATTTATTTTATTAAAGATTTATTTTATTTAAATTCTTTATAGGCAGTTAACTATTTATATATTATTTTAGTGTGTAAGGGGGGTGTTGTTACAAGTGCCCAGGGCCCCCATCCTCAGAGGGCCCCGAAGGACCGACATTTTCTCTCACATTTAACATCAAAATATAATAGTCGAGCGCATTACACTTTCTCGTTTCACGAACGTCGATCATTTTCAGATTTATTCAAATCAATACATTTATATGAATAATTTGTGTGATTCGAACACCATTATAACTTACCATTGAAGTTTATAATCTTAACGTCTATTTTCAAGTTACTAATTTGATTTTTTATTCTGTAATTTGAAAGTTTGTAAAAAATAATAATATTTTTGAACGCATCAAATTTACTAAACACACCTTCTAGCAATCATCCATACAAATCACCCCGATGCCAAAGTCATGGCGCCATAATGAGGAAGTATTTAAAAAAAATTAGTTCCTGAAATCAAACTAGATGTCGCTACGGTACGTTCTTGATTTCTCCATGACAACCCTTCCGGTTTTCTTTCATGTATAAAAATAAACAACTCATATTCTATTTGTACTTTTTCGTATTTGTATTGATGTCTAAGTTTAGAACTTTTTTAATATGTTAGTTAAAAGGAAAGGAAATTACTATCTTTGGTCCATTCGTTTCCTGCAAAAATCATCTTTTGCTAGAGTCGCCATCTAGTGAGGTGCTTTTAGTGCTTTCTTTATTTTTTTTAAATACTTCCTATTTAAATGTCGACTTTGTCTATGGTTGGGGGAATCATCGTATGATGCACTTTTAGTTGGACAGAAGTAACGTGATTTGATTTTATTTAATATAATTTGGTTAACATTAATAGAATTTTTGATTTGTACGTTTAAATATCATTTCACAATGTCGAAAAGAACATTTTTAAGTGGTTCACAAAAGAGAAAAAAAGTTTTAACTCAAAAGGAAGTCAGGGAAAAACTTCCTAAGCTTCCTTCGTTTTTTACGCTGGAAGAAACAAATAAGTTGGGGAATTCTTCATCATCATCACCTCAAGATAATATCTCTAAAGATCACCAGGAGAAAGAAGTTATTACGTGTGACGAAAATGACAAACGCACATCAAATCCTGAACCTTCGACATCGAGCAACTGTGAGTTAATAGTTGCAAGCTTGGATAGTGTGTCTGTATCTTATGACCCTGGTACGTTCTGTAACGACATTTTAACGGAGGAAGTCCGTAATATTTGGATTCGAAAAGGGCCAGAGTTTTTCCAAAATAAACATTGTGACTTCTCCTGAACTTCTACAAGTTTTCCAGATTCATGTGGTAAAACAAAAATTAGATACTTGACAAAAAATATTTTTACGCGTAAATTAACGAATGGTGAGTCTCTGGACAGAAAATGGCTCCTTTATTCCCCAGCAAAGAAATCTGTGTACTGTTACTGCTGCCGTCTATTTAATACCACTATTGGTACTGGATATAATCTGAGTTCTCCAAATGGATATAAGGATTAGAAAAATATAAGTAACTTTTTGATGGAGCATGAGAACAGTTTGCAACACAGGCAATCTATGATGAATTATGTTATAAGAATGAAAACTACTGGACGAATTGATAGTGAGTTGTTGTCCCGATATAATACAGAAGTTAACTATTGGAAAAATGTCCTTAGGAGAATTGTTGCAGTAGTTGTTAACTAAAACCTCACTTTCAATCATCAAACTATTTATTCACTAATTTGCATACATCACACATAGCTATCAATAATCACAACACTTTATTTTATAATTTACACTAGTTGTCACAGCGCGAGCGGAACTAAGACTGCCATGCTTAGGTCGGTTGCTTGCTTATCTAGTCGCCATCTTGCACGTGAACGTCATTGTGCGCCGCAAGATGGCGTCACCGGCGTCAACTTCCGGTCAATTAATGTTGATTTCATTAAGTTGCCAACACGGCCATTCTGCAAGGCGTTTGCCCCAGACGCCACAATTTTATGGAATATACTGAAACTGAAAATATGAAATTAAATATGAAATAATGTAAATGTCACACGTATAATGTTCAGTCTTCTTAACATGTTCACATACTGATCGCAAACAGAATATTTTGAAACTGAAGACCACTCGCACTTAAAGGGACTTTTCCTCACTTAAGAGACCAAGTTCGTCTTTGTTTCCATGACGACTAAACTGAAGACCACTTGCACTTAAAGGGAATTTACCACACTTAAGAGACCAAGTTCGTCTTTGTTTCCATGACGACTAAACTGAAGACCACTTGCACTTAAAGGGAATTTACCACACTTAAGAGACCAAGTTCGTCTTTGTTTCCATGACGACTAAACTGAAGACCACTTGCACTTAAAGGGAATTTACCACACTTAAGGGACCAAGTTAGTCTTAGTTTTTGCAACCACTCGCACTCAAAGGGCAATAACCTCACTTAAGTATACCGAGTTGGTTCAACACGTCCTACCTCACTTATATACGAGTCAGTATATTTACACGCATGAACTATATTTAGGTAACTTATTTATTTACCTTGGAATACCGACGGTTTTAGGTATTTTTAATTTCTATTTATTAAAATAACAAGTCAGTTACAGGAAATATTTAAAAGTTATATGTTATTATTAGTAGTTTAACATATACTTAATAAAGGTGTAAGGTAATGCGGTCATATTGTTACTAATATCACACATAAGTAACTGTTTCCACATTTGTTTGTCTGTTAGAAAACTACTTGCACTTAAAGGGACTCTGCCGCACTTAAGAGACCAAGTTAGTCTTCCACCCTGCACAATAGAGCCACTTGCACTCAAAGGGATATATACCCACTTGAGCGTACCAAGTTCACTCACAATTATGCCTATGTACCTTTCAATATGTTTACAACAATTATTAATGTGTGACATAAATATAAGTTAAAGCATTTTATCTTGACTCGCAAACCTTACGTGTATACTCGTATTACTTTATAAACCAAATTGTTATGCCTGATGTAATATTTTACTTGTATACATAATTTTTTTTTTATGTGTTCTATTTTTAATAAACTATGAATTAGGTAAGATACCAAAAACAGTATATTAAGGTGTTTACCTTGCCAACACGAATATCTATTATATACATAATATAATCACGTAATTATTCAGATTCATTCCAGTTGTCTATTTTAATCCACGGCTTCATATTTTCAGCCGCTATCACGCCAGTATACTTTTTAAAGGATCTTTCACTTCCTTTAAGATCCGTTACCTCATATCTGTCATTTCCCACAAGTTTTTTGACTTTGAATGGACCCAAGTGGTCTAAATGAAGTGTATGAAAAGGTTGAGCATATTTTGGCATTGGAAATAATTCGCCTTCCTTGGCACCCCCTTTGTTTTTGAAGTATATACAATTTAAACAATTTTTTATGTACTTTTTTATAATACGACGCATGTGGGGAAACCAGTAAAACTTTGATATTCTTTCTACAGTTTTGTCTACAGAAAAATGTCCAATGTCATCATGGTTGTATTTAATTATTTGCCAAATACATTTTTTTGGTACCGACCATCGACGACCCTTTGCTGTTCTTCTGTAAACTTTTGACCCAAGCAATTCGTATTTGTCAAAAACATCTCTATTTTGGTCGGCCTCTCCCGATTCTAAAATTGATTTTAATTGTTGAATTTTAGAGTCTTGTGTTTGCACTAACAGCAACCAATCTGCTTCAGTAATGGACATAATGATTTCAACTTCAGACTTTTCCCCCGAAACTACAGGATTTCGACTTAATGCATCAACATGCAGCATACGTGTACCTGCTCTATGGACAATTTCAAATGAAAATTCTTGTGTAGCTAATACCCATCGAGCTATGCGTGGGACAATATCTTTTTTAGTGAGCGCATATCGTACAGCACTGCAGTCAGTTATGATTTTAAAATTTGAACCTAACAGATATAGGCGGAATTTTTGGAGCGAACAAATAATTGCCAACAGTTCTAATTCAAATGAATGGTATAATTTTTCATTTTCGGTAGTTTGCCTACTATAATAATGGACTGGTTTTTCTCCCTCATTTGTAATTTGCATAAGTATTCCTGCAATACCCTCTCGACTAGCATCAGTGTATAAAACACTATCTCTATTGGGATCAAAATTAGACAGGAAATTATCTGATGTTAATTTATTTTTTAACGATTGAAATGTCTCTTCTTGTTTGTCTTCCCAAGCCCAGGTAGTATCCTTCTTTAACAGTTTTGTCAAAGGCACCAAAATCATTGCGCAATTTTTAATAAATTTCCGAAAATAGCTTATTAGACCAATGAACTGTCGAAGTTGGTGTACTGTTTTGGGTCTTGGAAACTGCCTAACTGATTCTAATTTCGCTTCATTTGGCATAATTTTCCCAGACTTTACTCGATAACCTAAGAACTCTATTTCACTTTTGAAGAAATGACACTTTTTTTAGATTCAGAGTCAAACCATTCATCCTAAAAATTTGCAATATCTGTTCTAATAACTTCAAATTTTCTTCCACCGTATTTGTTACAAGATAAATATCATCTAAATAACTATTACATTGTTAAACCTTAAATTACCTAAAACTTTATTCATCATATATTGAAAACAAGATGGTGCATTAACTAAACCAAAGGGGAGTCTGAGAAACTCATAATGGCCATCTTCCGTGATGAATGCAGTTTTGGGTATTGAATTCTCGTTCATTAATATTATAACCACTTTTTAAATCAAGACTTGAAAAACATTTGTGACCAGAAAGTCTATCAATAAGGTCATCAATACGCGGCATAGGGTACTTATCCTTAATAGTTATTTTGTTTAATAACCGATAGTCTATACAAAGTCTTTTTTCTCCATTTTTTTTTTGTTACAAGAAGTGCGGGGCTCGCATAAGACGATCTACTTTCGCGTATGATGTTATTTTCTAAAAGTTCATTTACTATATCACGTATTATTTTTCTATCGTTATTAGAAGTCCTAAAAGGTCTGCACTGAATCGGTTGTATATTGTTAACGTTAATTTCCATTTCGTGATGATTAACTTTCCCTAACTCTTTAGTATTGAGTGCTACACAATCTCTATATATACTGAAAATACATTTTAACTCGTTATGATGAGAGTCGGTGTCTAAATCTAGTTCATTAATACTTTTACAGGATTCGCTGTACCCTATTGCATAATGAAACCTAAAGGTATTTCCTACACGTATGTACATCAAATCTGATCGCTCAGTTACATTCCTACCTATCAAAATATCATAATCCATCAAATCATCAAGCACATAAATGTCAATTTGCGTTAAAGCTATAGAGTCCATTTCTAAATCAACGGTTATCTTATGACTCACAAATTTTGAGGATTGTTTAGAAAATCCTTGCAATAAAATCGGAGAGGATAAAGGACTAATTTCAAAGCAATTATTCTTTGCGAATGACTCTGACACTAACGAACAACTACTTCCAGTATCTATAAAAGCTTCACACTTCACGTGATTTAGTATTATATTTTTAACGAATTTGTTACGAGGGTTGGGGGTAGAAATAAATTTAGTTTCGTGCGTTTCGGTTTTCGTCAGTTTTTGTGAAAGCATACAGCTTCTAAATGGCCCCTTTTCCCACAGAAGTCGCATTTATTTTTATCACATTGATTTCGTTTATGATTCCCACCACAAATGAAGCATTTTAACGATTTACGTTGTATGTTCTGCATGGTCGCTAGTGAACCAGATGGAACAGTTTGATCTATTATGGTTATACTACCTCCATTTGTGGAGGAAGTAGTTGGTTGTGCGACGGTTTGTCGTGGTTGGTTTTCACAAGGAACATTTGAAGATTTAGGAAATTTGGATTTGTATATTCGACCATGCAAAAAACTTGCTAGATTATCACATGTTGTAAACTGATTAGCGTCTATTGATGCTAATAAATTTGCCTCTCCTATGTTCCCTAAAATAATAGATATAATATCTTGTTGTGTAAAGTTTAGTGACAAACGATCGATTTTACATTTTTGATCAAAGTAAAAATCGTATAAAGATTGATTTTCTATGGGTTTTTTATCGAGTATTTCTTTTAGAAGATCAAAAATATTTCTCCTACTTTGAAAACAAGCCGATAGCTTTATTCGCCAATCTTTCCATTTCCAAGATGGCCACTGATATTCAGTATGTAATAAGGAGTCGTACCATGTTTTAGCGGAACCTTTCAATTTGTTCAAAGCTTGATAGCGAATCACTTCATCCGACCAGGCAAACGTTTGAGAGTAAGATTCGATAATATTAAGCCATGCATTTACGTCGTCTATTAACGGGTCAAATTCTGGTATGATATTGCACAATATTAAGCTGTTGTTTGTACTTACAGTCGCGGTGTCAGTTTTGTGTGCTACCTTTTTCCTTTGTCTCGGTGAGGGCGACGGTGTTCGAGCGCTACTCGAGCTACTCGACGTCGAACTCGAGCGTCTTTCGCGACGTTTAGAGCGCTTCCTGCGAGAGCCCATTGGCGCCTAATATCCCACTTCTGATGTTAACTAAAACCTCACTTTCAATCATCAAACTATTTATTCACTAATTTGCATACATCACACATAGCTATCAATAATCACAACACTTTATTTTATAATTTACACTAGTTGTCACAGCGCGAGCGGAACTAAGACTGCCATGCTTAGGTCGGTTGCTTGCTTATCTAGTCGCCATCTTGCACGTGAACGTCATTGTGCGCCGCAAGATGGCGTCACCGGCGTCAACTTCCGGTCAATTAATGTTGATTTCATTAAGTTGCCAACATAGTGAAGTTTTTAGCTTCAAGAGGTCTTGCTTTTCGTGGTGATAATGAGACATTCGGATCACAAAATAATGGAAATTATTTGGGATGCTTAGAACTGATTAGTGAATTTGATCCGTTTCTTGCTGATCACATACAAAACTACGGAAATCGTGGAAAAGGAAGTATATCATATTTATCTGCAAATATTTGCAATGAATTCATTAATTTAATGGGAGAGCGAGTTTTAAAAACAATTGTTAAAGAACTTGAATCAGCAAAATACTACTCTATTAGCGTAGATTCTACGCCGGATCTATCCCATGTTGATCAGCTCACTTTCATCGTTAGATATGTAAAAGACGGAGAGCCTATTGAGAGATTTTTGCAATTTTTGCCTATGGAAGGACATAATGCGCAAAATATAGCAGATATCATTTTAAACTTTTTTGATAGTCTTGATATCCCCATAAAAGATTGCCGCGGGCAGAGTTATGACAATGCATCAAATATGTCTGGAAAGTACTATGGTGTTCAGTCTAGAATAAAAGAAGTATGTGAATATGCAATTTACGTTCCATGTGCGGCACATTCATTAAATTTAGTGGGTGTTCAAGCTGTTCAGTGTATTACTGAAACAGTAGCATTCTTTCAATTTGTACAAAAATTGTACAATTTCTCAGCTTCGACCAAACGATGGAAAATTTTGACAGAGCATTTAGGTGTAAATAGGGTCCTGAAGTCTCTTTCGGAAACCAGATGGTCAGCAGATGCCAAAGCTATTAATGCTTTGCGAAATGGTTATTTAAATATTTCTGAAGCATTGTCCTCCATCGCAAGTGACAACAGTCAACAAGGAGACACTAGAATCGAAGCTCAAAGCCTAGTAAAAAAAATGGAAAAATTGGAAACTGTGCTTCTGACGGAAATATGGAATGACATTTTGGAAATTATGAACAAAACAAGTCTAAGTTTACAGAATAGCACTATGACTATGGACGTTGTAACAAAACTTTACAAATCTCTGATCAGTTATGTCAATAATGCACGCAATAATTTTAATCAGTATGAAACAGCTGCTAAAGAAAAAAATCCAGATGCTGATTACAAAGATAAATTTGAAAGAAGAGGATTCGTAGCTCACGCCTAACTTTTTTTGAAGGCGCGTCAGAGACTTTCCAGTTGAAAGTTAATGAAAAGTTTCGTGTAAATACTTTCATTCCCATAATTGACACATTAATTACACATTTAAAACAACGTTCGGCAGCTTATCAAGAAATTGATAATCGATTTAGTTTTCTTTGTCAATTAACAACAATCGAATCTGATGAATTGACCAAAAAATGCAACGAATTTGCAAAATTTTACCATGAAGACATTAATGCATATGAGCTCAAAACAGAATGCCCTACATAAATTATCTCAGCCTTAAATAACTTAATATAATAATAAGCCTTTATTCAGAGAACCATTAAATTCACATGTCAATTATACTTTTAATTAATACAATTTTATTCTTTCATTACACAAATATCTTGTTTAGTCACAATATTTAATAAATGGTGATATATGAGGATATTGAATTGAATTATTAATTTATGTCAATGTTAGATTTAATATGTCAATATTTATTAAGTTGTTTTGTCGGTTATCTCTGTTTGTCTTTTAGCATAGGCCTCCCCCAATCTTTCCCAATTTTTCTTATTTGCTGTCAATCTAGTCCATGTCACTCCTGCAGTTTTTGCTAGTTCATCTTCCCATCGTCTCCACTGCCTCCCTCTCCTCCTTTTCCTATCTCTGGGTATCCAATTTAGTATTGTTTTGCTCCACTTTTCTATGCCTCTTATAACATTACCTGTCCACCTCCACTTTCCTTTTATTACCTTTTCAGTGACATCAATCAGTTTGGTCTTGGCTCTAATTGTGGAATGCCTTAATTTTTGCATTTTCGTAATACTTAGTATGCTTCTTTCCATCGTTCTTTGGCAAGTCCTTATTTTTAGCAGATGGGATCTATTAAGTGACCATGTTTCGCATCCATACGTAAGAATGGGCAGTATGCAAGCATTGAAGAGTTTTCGCTTTAAGCTATCTGGGAATGTTTTATTTTTCATGACTTCCTTTAGTGACCAGTAGCTTTTCCAGGCCCCACTAATTCTTGTTTCGATTTCTTTATCTGTCATGCCTTGTGGTGAGATGATTTGTCCCAAGTACTTATATTCGTCTACATATTCTATTTTGTCTTTCCTCACCAAAATTGGAAGTTTAATTGTATTCGTCATGGCCTTGGTTTTGGACATATTCATGGTTAACCCCACTTTTCTGCTTCGCTCATTAAGCTCTTCTACCATTTTTTGTAGATTGTTAGCACAGTCTGAAAATGTAACAAGGTCATCAGCAAATCTCAAATGTGTCAGCTTCTGGCCATTTATTCTAATGCCGTATTCCTCCCAATCTAGTTCGCGGAAAATACCCTCCAATACCGCCGAAAACAACTTTGGAGACAACGGGTCACCCTGCCGAACTCCTCTCTGTATTGGGAACTCCGCTCCGTCCCTATCCAATCTCACTCTTGCAGTGCTATTTTGGTATAGTTTTTTAATTATGTTTATATATTTTATATCCACACCTTGGTTTTTTAGTTCTTTCCAGATTGTTGAGTGATCCAGAGAGTCGAACGCTTTATTATAGTCCACAAAGCAGCAGTACAAGGGCATGCCATATTCTTTTGTTTTTTGGAATAACAGTTTTATAACCAGAATATGATCCATCACAGAGTAGTGGCTACGGAATCCCGCTTGCTCCCGTGGTTGGTTCTCGTCTAGGACTTTTGTTATGCGATTCAGGATGACCTTTGCAAATACTTTGTAAATATTTGACAGTATGCTGATTGGTATGTAGTTCCCTATGTCATTTCTGTCGCCTTTTTTGTAGAGAAGAGTTATTGATGATGTAGTCCATTGCTGCGGTATTTCTTCTGACGTGAGAATTTCATTAAATAAATTGGTGAGTAGAGGTGTCATTAAATCTTTATTTGCCAACAGAAATTCATTGCTTATTTTATCAGAGCTTGTAGCCTTGCCTTTCTTCTGTGATTCAATTGCTTTTTGTACTTCACTGGCAAGTATAGCCGGAACCTCTTCTGAAGGAAATGTATGATGTTGCTCGTCTGAAGTTATGTCTTGCTTTGTGTAGAGTGTCTGGTAAAATTTTGTGGTAATTTCAATTAAGTCTGGTCGCTTTCTTTTATCTTTACCTGATGAGTTCTTGAGAGATGGTATCCATTCCTTTGTTCTTTCCAGAGACTTCCAAGCACTCTTTACACCACCTGTAGCCTTTATTCTGTCTTCGAATATTTTCATACGATGTTGTCTTGTATCCTGTCTCATGCTTGTATTGATATCCTTGCTGATTTTGGTTATTTGTTTGCGTATCTCACCGGTCTTGTTTTTGCATTTGATTAGCAAGGATCTTCTGTATAGAAGATCCTTTGTGTTGTTGGAAAGATGTGAAGCTGTTGATTGATTCTGCGTATTCATATGGCTGGAGCACTTTGTAATAAGGGAGTCGTATTTATTCTGGATTGTGGTTTGTGGGTCTGAAAGTATACCTTTTAGATAATTTCCCATTGGTTGATTTAGTTTCTGCTGCCAGGGTGTAGTTTTATTATGAAATTTTTGTCTTGCAAAGTTTCTTTAAATTTTTTGTTTTTCCATCTTTAATTTACATCTCACCATTCTGTGGTTAGTATTAAAATTGAGGTTGTGAATAGCCCCGCAGTCTTCTAAAGCTATAGGCTTGTTTGTCAGTATGTAGTCTATTTCGTTTTTGCTTTTGCTGTCAGGTGATATCCACGTCCACCTTCTTCTTGGATTTTTTTATAGACTGTGTTCAGTATTGTCAATTGAAATTCGAGTGCGAAGTCGATTAGGTTCTCGCCGTTTCTTGTTCTTTTTTTACCTGTGTAGTATGGGCCCAATACAATTTCTTCACCTTCCCGTCTATAACCAATCTGTGCATTGAAGTCACCCGTAATTATTAGATTTGTACCGATTAAGTTTTCTGTTAGTTCTCTTAACTGTGAGTAAAAGGAATGTATTTCTTCTTTGCTAGACTGTTCGGTGGGTGAGTAAATCTGTATTATATTCCATTGCTCTAAATTTGGTGGCATCTCTATGTTCAGGACCGCAATACGTTCTGACACTCCTCTAATTTTTATTATATTACGTTTCAGAACTTTATTGATAATGAAACCTACTCCATGCTTTCCCTTTGTAAAACAAAATGAAGTTTTCATATTCAATAATATTTTCTCCGAGCCTGCGAACCTCGCTACGTCCAATTATGTTCCATTTTACAATTTTTTTAGTTCCAGCAGTCTTTCCTCCGTTCTAAGTGTGCATGTGTTTAAAGTAGCAATAAAAAGATTTCGTTTACCTTGATTTGTTTTGGTTTGCCTTGCACCCTGTAAGTTTTGTTGATGAGGGGTCTGATATTCTTCATTTTTATGATGTATGTGTTGGAATTCACTTAAGATAAGGGGGATTTGGTCAGTCATCCCACGGGGACCAGCCGGATTGGGATCTTTGTCGTATTTTGCACATAACTTATTGTTTTTATTTTATTTTGTGTGTTCGGGTCATGGCTTATTAATTGCTACTTGTTTGTTGTCTCAGTTTCTGTGTTTGTCTTTTGGCCATTCCTATTCCTCATGTAGTTGAAGGCATTAATTTTGTTCAGTTTTTGTGGATTATGATTATTTTCTTCTTCTGAGGTAAAAGGAGGTGATAATGTGTTTGATTCTGGTCTTTTTCTTTTTTCTGTTTTATTACTTCCTCTCACTATTAATTGGTCATATTTTATAAATGCGTAATTTCCTTGCTTTCTTTCTTCTTGTAACTGAACCTGCAGATTTCTGCGTTTCTCCTGAATTTCTTTTGGGTAGTCCTCTGTTATGTAGATTTTATTAGGTAAATTTCTTTTGATACCTAGTATTTCGATTTTTTTTTAAAGTTTTCGTTATAGTGAATCGTATTGGTCTTTTCTTTTTGTCACTTTTATTCCCAATACTGTGGACGTCAATTATATCCCTCTCTTCTATTCTTATATTCATGCTCTGGAGAACTTTTATAATAAGGGTGGCAAGTTCACAGGCACTTTTTTCAGTTTCATTCACGCCATGTAAAATCAGATTGTTTTTCCTCATTTCTTTTTCTAACATTACCACTTTGTGTTCCAAGTCAACTACTTTTATTCGCAATTCATCATTTTCTTGCTTAATTAACCTGAATTTTTCTTCAAAGGACTCAGTCAGCCTCCTAGTTATTTCTTCTGTTTGTTTGTACATCTCATCTTTAATTTTTTCAAACCACTGTTGCATTATTTCGTTAGACATTTTGTTTTATAAACTTTTTTTATTGCCCGTACCGAAACACTAGTTATTTTCATCTATGTCTAACGTTCCTAAACGAACTTGCACTTTTTATAATACTCTGTGGTCGTAAGTTTAATTGCTACCATAGTCCCTCACTATAATTTTTTTCTGATGTTGTCAGTCCTGCTTGACAGCTTCTTGTCAGTAACAAGTTGTCACTAATAACCTCCAAATTGAATTCTGTTGTTTTCGAAGTGGTTGACACACGTGTTTGTGATTTGTTTTTGTTTTTCTGCCAACTTTTGCTAATCTTTCTTTTCTAAATTGAGTATTTCTTACTAACAATACATAGGTAAGTGTTTTATGTAAGTAGTTAACATAATAGATCTTACTTATAACACGTATTATATAGATAACAATTTAATACTTAAATAGACGGTTGTTAGGTTAAAAGTCAATATGGAATCTGACCCTCCTGACCCCCCAGATCCACCAGACATCGAATTTGTATCTCCACCTATGTTCTCTCAATCTCATTCTTTACCGGATAAAGTTGACTCTCGGAAACATAAGTTACCGACGGAATCTACCTCAGGTTTAGACAAACGTACGAGAAACGACAATGATATAGACACTTCAGTTTCAGTTCAAACAATTTACACACACCCTAGCCTTTCGCAAGTCCGTAAATATGGCCAAGACGATCGTGGTCCCTTTGTTGTACACGTCAGTAGGTCTGAACCTGACCCTGCTGCTGGTACTACTATCCGTCCTATTAAATTTGGTCAAACTGTACATAAACATGGCATCAAAAATATAGTGAAAGGTGGCATTAGGAACGTAGGAAGAAATAGGATTGAAATAGAATTTACAACCGGTTTGGAAGCTAACAAATTTGTATCCTCAGACTTTATTATTCGACATAAATACAAGGCATCTATACCAACATATAACATAACTCGTATGGGTGTTGTTAGAAACATTCCTGTCGACTGGTCTCTTGATGAGTTTATTGAATCAGTTGATCTGCCGGAGACAAGTGGGAAAATCCTCAAAGCCAGAAGACTGAATAGAAAAACCTATGTAAATGATAAAATTACTTGGACCCCTACTCAAACAGTAGTACTTACGTTTGAAGGGCAGCTGCTCCCTAAGAGAATATATTGCTACTCAACTTCTCTTCCTGTAGAAACATACCAGCTTCCGACAATTCAGTGCCATAATTGCTGTAGATTCGGCCATATTAAAACTCAGTGCCGATCCAAACCCAGGTGTTATCGTTGTACCAAGGAACATTCAGGAGAAATCTGTCCCATTGTTGAAAGTTGTGCCACCTGTTTACACTGCTCTGGTGGTCACTTTGCCACAGACAGAGGATGCCCAGAGTTTGCTAGACAACACAATATTAAAATTATAATGTCACAAGAAAATGTCTCATATTTGGACGCTTCTGCCCGCTTTGCCCCTGTACGTCGCCCTTATTCTGATGTATCGAAATCCCCTAAAGCCCCCACATCATTACAACCCCAGACTCTAGAAACCCAATCCTACTCTCATTTACCTTCCTCATCTATTTCATACCGCAAAACTATCCCACTCCCTCCTAGGAAAAGACCCTCTCTCACCAAAGGATATGATCGATCTGCTCACCAAGCCGTTATATCTGAACCCCCTCCCACGATACCTAACGGCAGTAATTTAGAAAATCCATACTCTTCATCTAGTGATGACAGATTCTTAGAACACATTATTTCTCTACTTACAGACATACTTTTCAGATTTAATGACGCCTTACCGCCCAACGTTGCACAAAAACTCAATATCTTAACTAGTCTTCTACCCAAAAATGGCTCCATCACCGCCAATGACGAACACCTGCCACTTTCTACAATGGAACAGTAGAAGTATTAAACCAAAATTACATGAACTCCAATATCTGCTTAATAAATACCACGTGACTGTTGCTGCCATCTCTGAGACTTGGCTGAGGCCAGAAGCCCGATTCCGGGTACGTGGCTTTGCCTGCCTCAGGGATGACAAAGCTGATGGTTATGATGGTTGTGCCCTACTAATCAAACAAAACCTCACTTATTCCAAACTTCCTATTCCTCCCCACAATGACCTATTTAATATCATAGCAGCAAGAGTAATGAACATTACTTTTGTTTTTATTTATTTACCTCACCCTCATATCTCCATCATTTCTGATTTAGAAGCAACGCTTAAAAACTTACCTAGTTTTTTTTTTTTTTTGCTTTTTCTTTTTTTGGTCTGGCAACTCTGGCCGCCTCTCTTGTCAAATGTTTTTGTCCGTATTTAAAATTATAATTTAATTATTTATTCAGTTTTAAATAAGTAAATTTTGATAGAAATAGTGAATATACATCATAGTTAATATATGGCAGTGATATCTTAGTGTAAAATTACATATGTATGTGTTGAATATTCATCGAAATAAACCTTGGCAAACTGTCAACGGACTGGAAGATTTTTGAATCAGCTGTTCAAAACAAATACCAATAAATTAATTGGACTTCTACTTCTGAAACCTGGGGAGTATTGTTTTTCATATACACACATTAATTATTACGGTTATTCCTTTGGTTCTTGTTACAATTGAATTCCATATTATTTCTTTTTTCTTAGCACCTATCATATATTGTCCAGATTTAAAGTAATTTGCAAAATTTAATTACAATTGTGGATTCAGCAATTAATCGTTCTTTATAATATATTTAACTTAATACTTCCTAAAAATTGTTTTTACATGTGACATTCTGGTTTCTCAATACCTTCATTTTCAAACTTATCATAACACTTATCAGAACTCACTAATAGTGAGCAACGTCCCAAATCATAACAGTTTGGTACTGTTAACCTCTCTTTACTTGACATAAAGTGGAAGTAAAGTTGATGGTGACCGAGTTGCCACAGACATTCATTACTCCTACTCTTTACAAATAATATACTTGCATAATTAACATTCAATTAATCACAGCTGAGAAACTCCTTTATTGTTTGTGATTAGAAATACTTATTCCAGTATATCATTTTGCATACACTGTAGTAAGAATTAAAAATAAAAATAAAAGAAATTTTTATTATTCAGATTAAGAAATGAACTAAGATCAAGAATAAATTATTATTATTATTTTCTTTTGATGCTAGTGTAATTAAGACAAGTCATTGCTGTGAATGATAATCTTGTAATAATACATATAGATTAAATTGTATAAGAAAAAGCAATTATAAGTAATCATATGAGAGGGGTACACATGTATATTAAATTCATAATTATAATTTATTGGTGATTGGATTTTAAAGTGACACTTGTTCTTCTATTTTGTTAAACTTAATTGCATAAATAATTAGTATAATAATTTTTTGTCTACCCACCTACTGAATACTATTTAAATTATATTATTATACTTTAAATTAATTATTTCATAATTTCTAATTAATAAGATTCTTAATTAGAATAGTGTTAGTTAATTGTGAAACCTTTTAACTGCTTTCAGTGAATAATTAACAATCTCCCAATTTAAAATGATGACCCGTAAAGCTACAGCACAAAACACTGAAATAAAGCTGCGACAAACATTGGAAGAACTGAAATGTTGTAAGGACACATGTAGTCAGCTTCTTCGAGAACGTGATGAGAGTGAAGAAGAGATCAAGAAAATTATAAATAAGAACACATTATTGAAAAGTGAACTTGCACAGCTACATTCACAGCATGAAGAAGTGCTTCTTCAGCAAGTTGAACTACGTGACACCTTAAGTAGTTTTGACAAGGATTGCAAGATATATGAGAGAGCCCTTCAGCGCATCACTGAGCTAGAACAGGAACTGAGCATTGCAAACTCTCAAATTACAGAGTATGAGGAAGCACAACTTGTGCATAATCAATTACAAGAATCGCACAACACTCGTAGTCTGTTTGAGGAGCTGATGGCAACACCTGGAGCACCATCTACCCAGTTTGCAATAAGACCTGATAGTGTTGTTTTACATCACCATACACAAGGTACTAAGAAGATTAAAAAATATGTTCGTATCAGCAAGTTCATTAAAAAAACTGAGAAACTTATTAAGAAAAACAACTGTTTCTATAAAAACATTGCTCTTAGGAAGGTAAAAAATAGTCTCATCGACTCCCTGGAAATTTATAGTTCCAAATTGACAGAGAGTAGGGAGATGTATGACCGAGATACTAGACAGTTACATTCTCAGATTGAAAAGTTGCATGAATCTCTAGAGAATATGGAAAGTAAATATTCAAGTGCACAGAAACAAATTAATGAGCACATTAAGTCTGCGTCAGAGTTAGTTGATTTATGCAACTATAATGCAGAGCGATATGAGTCATTATTAAAAAATCAACAAATAAGTACTATAAATCATTCTTCTTTGTCTGATCATTCCATTATAAATGTAGTACCAAAAATTAATGAAATTTCTCATGATCTCGGTCAGTCATCTGTCTCATCTGTCTCTTATCCTATAGGTACAACATATAATGCATGCCCTTTCAAACCAGCATTGTCTTATGACTCAAGAAGTAGCAAAACAATAATGTTTTCTGACAAGCTGGGCCAAGGTCTTGGTTCGGCTGTCAAAAACAAATTAGCACAAAACTTCATAAATATTTGTTCTCCAGGTCGATCATTTAACAATATAGTAAAAAATCTGAGCAAAAATGAACTAGATAGTGCTACCACTTTAATTATTTTGTGTGGTGATAGCTCATCATCATCAATACAGGGTCATGTAAAAAGTATTGATAACTTACTAAAATTACAATCTGAATCAAATTGTAAAATGATAATAAGCAGCTTTCCATATGTCAAAAACTACAATAAGGAACAAAACATGCGCATACATAAATTAAATTTGACATTATATAATATGATATCTCGTCATAGTGACGTTATTTTATTTTTTGATATTAATAAGTATATTAAAAAAATAAATCTGACAAAAGATAATATGTATCTGACTAAATCATGTAAGACCGAAAT